TGTTGCATGCATGTGAAAATCGACTAAAAACAAAAAAAAAAGGTCAGAGCCGCGAGCTTGCTATTGTGCCGTGGACCACACCGCCTTTTTGTGTTGTCGGATTTGCCTCCGCCAGATTCAACCAGCCGCCTCCTCCTCCGCCGCCAGATCCAAGAGAGGGAGAGAAGGTGAGGGAGATGGAGAGGTGGAGGGGGAGGATGAAGGGCTCACCTCCATGGTCGAGATCCACACCACCCGTTACCTCCCCTGGCCTGCACACCATAATACAAAATTATTTTCCACCAAGTCAATTTTCATAGTTGGTTCTATTTAAATCAGTGGTGATAATTATTTTTATCACTGGTTCAAGCCGAAACCTATGCTTAAAACTGATCTCAAGTATATATATAATCCTAAACCCTAGGCGTCAAATCTCTTTATCTCACTCACCCACATCTGGCTCTCTCTCTCTCCCTCTCAAACCCTCCTCCCCCACCATCGCCCCCTCATCCTCATATCCCGCTGGTGTTGTCCCTCCTCCTCCTCCCCAACACTGCCCCATCTTCTCCTCCTCCCCATCGACGCTGCCTCTGGCCACTTCCTCATCCTCCTCCACACCTCCGAGGCCCCTTCTTCCATGGCCTGACAAAGGCAGATCTGGTCAGCTTAGGGCGGCGACACAACCTAGACATGATGATGCATGCATGGGCATGGCGCGGCAATGTGGGTGTGGCCGATCTGCTCGAGGGTAGCTTTGGTGATCGGGATCTGCTTGGTGGTGTGAGATCGTAGCTAGGGCAACCGGTGGTGTGAGCTCGGTGGGCGTGGATAGGCAGCAGTGGGTGCGGCCATGCTTTTGTTTAGTTTTCAATGCCTGTTTGAAACAAGCGATGGTGATGATCCACATCACTGCCGACTTTCACCACTGACTCGTGAACTCGATGGTTATGGCATTTTTTGAGCCGACAGTGATAAACTATCTATAGTAATGGCTTCGCGTGCTCTGCCATGGTGAGGAGATCCATGCTGCTGCTCCTCGTGTTTGCCCATAGCGGGAGGTATGCCCGCTACCTGCCTACCTCCTTGCGCCATGGTGGGAAGAGATATGCGCTGCGGCTCCTTGAGCTCGGCTTTGGTGGAAGGTCTGCACCACCGGATTTGCCCCTACCCCTGAACTCCACATTACCCCTGCCGGATTGGGTGGCTTAGGGAGTGTCAGGAGAGGAAGTGGAGGGGCTACCGGTGTTGAAAGAGGAAAGGGAGGGGAGAAGAAAACAAGGTGTCTCCTAAAATCCTCCTATGTAGTATATGAAAAGCTTAGGTGCCGCAAAATTGTAAAATTTTCACTTGACAGCTTGTTGTGCGATGTAGAGCTTGAGTAGCAGATAGGTTGAGACAGAGATCAGGTTCATCAAATAGCTCTTACTGCCCCAGTGTGGACACACGATGGAGATGTCACTCTATTTAATTACTTGTTGATTGCATATACTCAAGGCAAGTTTGGGGGCGTACAAGGAAAACCTTTGGTATGTAGGTGTATGTTTTGATTTAATTAATAGGGAGAGAGTGACAGAGGGGAGCATCAGTCCGATACCTATGTATATAGATGGCCATCGGCCCGGCCCGGCCTGGCCTAGCACGAGCCCGTGCCAGGCACAGCCTGATTGGGGTCGGGCCGGCACGGCACGTTGAGCCTCCCGGGCCGTGCCGAGCTGGGCTTCGTGCCTGATCAACGGCCCAGGCATGGCTTGTCGGGCTGTTTTCGGGCTAGGCCGGCCCGAGAAGCACGGCCCATTTGGCGTACCGTGCCTGCCCGAGGCCCACGAGGGAGCACCGCCGTCGGAGGAAGTCGATGTCGCGGCCGTAGCGCTATGATGGAGTCGGAGAGGGAGCGCCTCCACGCGGTGCCTCCAGGCGCGACCTCCACGCACTCGCCGAGGGCAGGAGCCAGGAGGGGAGCCGCCGCCGCGCTTTTCTCCCACGTGCTCGCCGAGGCTCGGGACTCGGGGTCGTCGGATCAGCACACGGCCGGAGGCACTCGACACCGGATCTGAATGGTTGGTGGGCTGATGGAGCATTGAAGTGGAGGAGGGAGTTCACGTGGAGACGAAGCATCTACACCTTCGCTCGTGAGTCGCGAGTGGGAAGGAACGCGATGCCCCGATGTGGATGTGGAAGTTGGGTGGCGGTGCGTGTGCGGCGGGATGGATGGCCGAGTAGTATGGGGAAGCAGCTAGGGTTGAGTGTTGGGCCTTATCTTTTGTTAGCCTGTTAGTCTATTACCGGGCCTCGTACCGGGCCGAGTGTATTCTTCGGGCCGTGTCGTGCCGCCCGGCGTGCCTGAGGAGCGGCCCAAGCATGGCCCTATATATCGGGCCGTGCTGGGCCAAAATGTCGTCCTTCGGACCGGGATGTCGTGCCTCGGCCTACATGACCAACTATACCTATGTAGGTGTGCAAAAATTGCTCATTGCTTTGGGTTCTCGTCCAGTAGCGGTGCTCCCAGCTCAGGTGTGTGCTCAGTGGATCGCTACCTAAGAAAACACCGGCAATGTACGCATCATGTATTCAATTAGAGACTTTTCTGGACCTAAAGAAAATAAAAGGAAAAGAAGCTGAGACCTTTCGAACAATACCATGGGGCATGGGGGTGTTTCTTCCCCGGGTCGAGCTTTTTTTGGTTGTCTCCTAACGTGGCTAGCTAGTGCCAACTGCCAAGTGGATGGAGCACTACTTGGGAGACTGAATGAAGAAACAACTGAGTTAGTTCTCCATCAGTCGGGCTAGCTATCTCATCATCTTTTTAGAGCTCCATGGACCATGGTACATATATCTGGCGCGATTAGGCAGGCATGCATGTCCCACGTGACGATTTATTTGCATGCGTTGCTTCCCCATCCATCCATTCCATCGACTCCCGTGATCCGATTCCTAGATCCCATATAGGCCAGGCCAGGCCAGCCATAGACGACGATGCCATCGTTCCTAGCTAGCTAGCCTTTCGTCTCGCATCTTTGTTTCTCTGCCAGTTTCCGGCCGGACTGTAGATGACGAGATTACTCTCTGTCTGGTGTCAATTCTCATCACCTGCTATTGCATAGCTTATTTTGATAGGGATACTCCATATAGTAAGATAGAACAGGATCCATATATATACGAAGAATATGCCGCTGGATGATGCCTTGCGAGACGTTTCGCAAAAATATGTTTTGCTTTTGCTAGCTTTTGCCTTTGGCCGATCAGGAGGATTATTCCATCGGTCGGGTCAGGTCATGTCGATGCTAGAATTTTTTTAAGGGAGTGTCGACGCTATTAGATTTTTTTTATAAATACGACAGATTAGACCGTTGTAGCACAAATACTAAAGCACAATCAAACATATAGAAATCTAACCGATTTTGTACCAAAAAAATCCATCAACAGATAAATAGCAAAAGTCTTATTCTAAACCAATTAACCAGCAGGAGACCTGCTGCTCATTTATATTAAAAAGAAGAAAAACTCAGTTTACTTTTGTATGTACTACATGTTTACTCCTTACAGAGATTGGCAATTTGACCAACCAGCAGCTTCTCTTCAACAAAAAAAAAAGTTGGAGAAAAACACAATGTAAAAAATGTTCCAGGAGACAGGAGATATGTTTTGCTCCGGCCGCCACCATCCAAGGCCTGCCTCATCTTTAATTTTCCGCACAACTCTGAAGAAGTTTGTCGCTTCATGACTTTTCTCTCTTTCCATGGTAATTAGGATCCAAAGTCCGCTCTTGCTCATGCTTTGAATGTTCAACATAGTAGTCCACTGGCTCTCGACCAATCCGCTTGGAGACCAAGTGGTTTGGTGCAGATTGTCGTTTGAGATCCAAGTCGTGGTCTCAGCCCATATCCTTCTTCTTATGAATCTATATAATCTCCGCGTGTTCGGCTGACATTAAATAAACACTGTAGCAACTGAAAAAAGCTGTAGTAGCAGGAAAATAGTGGGAGAAAGAGAGGCTAAAAAAAAAGGTATTAGATTAACATCTCTTGGATAGGTATTAGATTAATTCATTTGGATAGGGGGATAGGAGAAGAGAACTGGATAATAGGTCTATTTTTTCTTACTTATTAGATTTATACATCTACTCTTCTTATATAGAGACCTACTTGACCCTAAGCAAGAGATCTTTATTTCTAATTAACTCAGCCCAATAGACTTAGCCGACTGCCCGTTACACCGTGTCCAATTGTTGTTTTGTAGTGCCTCTTGTGTTTGATCTGAACTTTCTTTTTGAGATCGAGAAAAGGTTTGGCATGGCATAGGAGGACTATTGTCTTGGAGCTAGGCGCTTCTCCAGAAAGACATGTCACCATGGATTTGTGAAATTATGACACATGTTCGTGCTCATGCATCCAGCACATGTTGCGGCGAAAGGCTGTGGAAGGGCAGAGTGCGCGGCAGGGAACCGAGGCCCACACCTAGCATGGGCTGAAAAAACAACAAATCAAAGACGAGAGACAAATTCGGCCGAAGAATGGAGTTTCTACATTTGATCTGGGCCTTGGTCCTCCACGAATCTGGGCCTACTCGATCGAATACAGGCCTAACCGAATCCAAACCATCCCGGCTCCGGCTCCGTCTCCGGCTGGCTGGATCGTCGTCGGTTGCGGAGATTCCCCTCCCTCCCCGTGCGCCAGCCTACCGCACCGCACCAGACAAGAAACAATGGGAGGGAGAACCGAGAGCGGCGGCGACCGGCGAGGGTGAGGGACGAGATTCATAGATAGTAGCGGAGAAAGCGCGCCAGGGGAAAAGATGCGGACTCCCGCGATGCGCGCTGCCTAAAAGTTCCATTCCATTCCTTCCGGCGGCGGCCGGCAATACGCACTATCCCTGGCGATGGCGATGGCGATGGCGGCGACAGGAGAAAGTCACCACCTTTATTAGAGAAGAGATCCTATTCCTCTCCTCGCCCCCGGTTGCTTCTGCGTGCGGCCAGGCCAAGGAGGGGAACCGGCAAAGCAAACTACAGACGCGGGCACGATATGCAGGCCGCCGCCGCCTCCCCATGGACGATGAAGACCCTGCCGATGCTGGGGAACCACCTCCGCGACCCCACGCGCCTCGCCGGCGCCTCCTCGTCCTTCCACAGCACGCCCGCCTCCTTCGCCAAGTGGAGGAACAAATGGGACTGCCACAAGGTCCGTCCTTCCCTCCCTCGCTTCTCGCCATTCTCTCTTTGCTCCACGATCCTCATCTCACATTAATTAATTTATTATAATTAAGTGAAAGATAAAGATTCCATAGAGCAATGCTATTCGTTGCTATAATTTGGGTGTTTTTTCACTGATCATGTGCCTAATAATGTGCTCAAAACTGTTGCTCGCGTATGCTTATTCCACCAGACAAAGTAGTTTTGGATTTCCAAACCAAGCATCAGCACAGGATGCATCAACAACAAGCCTTTAAATAGTTCCAAATCATCTTGAGTGAGCCAAATTCCAGAAACAATCAGGTTCGTTGCGACGTGAATAGTATCTTCCAAGCATTCCTATGAAAGCTAAGTCTTTGGGTATATTCCATCCTTTCAAGTCTCCTTTATATGTCACCCAAGTCAACTTCCACTCTTTACATATCTGCGTTACTATCGACTTACGAGATTCACACATTGCAAGGTCTGTTGCACATATCCAAACCATCTCAACATTCAGCGGTGCTTTTCTTCAGACCCTAATCTCTCACGTATATCATCGTTCCGAACTCGATCCTTCTTGTATGCCCGCAAATCCAACGCAACTTTCGCATACCATGATATTATTTCATCAGACACTTGAATATGTCGTCTTTTCAGAGGGGTAGCCAACATTAGTTCGCACCATACAAAATATAGCAGGTCTAATCGCCATCCTATAAAACTTGCCTTTTAGCTTTCGTGGTACCCTTTTTGTCACATAGGACACAGACGCTTGCCGCCACTTCATCCACCACGCTTTGATTCTATGGCTAACATCTTCATCAATATCTCCATCCCCTCTGTAGCATTGATCCTAAATATCGAAAAGGTATCCATCCTAGGCACTACTTGACCTTCCAAACTAACATCTTCCTCCTCCCAGTAGTAGTGCGAAGTCACATCTCATATACTCAGTTTTAGTTCTACTAAGTCTAAGGACTTTGGACTCCAAAGTCTCCGCCATAACTCTAGTTTTCGATTCACTCGTCATGCTTTCATCAACTAGCACTACATCATCTCCAAAAGCATACACCAAGGATGTCCCTTGTATGTATTTGTGACCTCATCCATCACTAAAGCAAACAAATAAGGGCTCAAAGATGACCCTTGATGTAGTCCTATCCTAATCGGGAAGTCATCCGTGTCTCCATCACTTGTTTGAACTCTAGTCACAACATTGTTGTACATGTCCTTATGAGCCCGAGCGAGGTTCTTGGGACTTTATGTTTGTCCAAAGCCCACCACATAACATTCCTTGGTATTTTTTATCATAAGCCTTCTCCAAGTCAAAAAAAACCATGTGTAGGTCCTTCTTTTTCTCCCTATAGTGGCTCCATAACTTGTCTTATTAAGAAAATGGCTTCCATGGTTGACCTTAGGGCATGAAACCAAATTGGTTCATAGAGACCCGCGTTATTGCTCTAGTATAGCGATGCTCGATAACTCTCTCCCATAGCTTCATAGTATGGCTCATCAACTTAATTCCCAGTTAATTTGTACAACATTGAATATCCCTTTATTCTTGTAGATCGGTACCAATATACTTCTCCACTCATTTTTGCATCTTGTTTGATCGAAAAATATGGTTGAACAACTTGGTCAACCATACTCTACAGAATTATGAGAGGCATCTCCACACCTCGATTGGGATACCAGAAGGGTCCCATCGCCTTAAAGATTTTCATCCTTTTCAACGCCTCTCGACCTCGATTCTTGGATTCTCCGCTTCAAAGCGTCCTATTGGTGTCATCAAAAGAGTCATCCAACTGAAAGGTTGTGTCCATATTCTCACAATTGAACAATTTGTTAAAATACTCTTGCCATCGATGCTCTGGGATCTCATCCTCCTTTACCAAGAGATGCTCCCTTTCATCCTTAATGCACTTAACTTGGTTGAAGTCCCGTGTCTTTTCTCTCACGAACCCTAGCCATCCTATAAATGTCCTTCTCTCCTTCCTTCAGTACTCAAATGTTGATAAAGATCCTCGTGACGCTCTACCCTTTGCCACACAGGATGGAAGCGCTTGCGGTGCTTCTTTGCCACCTTGTACTTCTCTATGTTGTCCACTCCTGTCATGGTACAAGCGCCTATAGCATTCTTTCTTCTCCTTAATAGCCCTTTGGACTTCCTCGTTCCACCACCAAGTGTCTTTAGCCTCGCGTCCCCTTCCTTTGGTTACTCCACACACCTACTCTGAGGCTACTTTAGAATGTTGGTTGCCATCTTGTCCCACATATTGTTTATGTCGTCTTCTTCCTTCCAAGAGCCCTCTTTGATAACCCTTTCCTAAATACCTATGTCTTATGGTGCCTCTTATCAGCAAAAACCTGTTGAGCTTCCATGATTTATTGAGTATGTAATAAATCATTCGCGTCTCCCTTTCGGTTTCCACCACTTTGTTCTTTCAATCCTAGCTTATTTATCCCTACAGGCACGCATTGAAATGTACAAAATCATGCCACCAAAAGCTTATGTTGAGAAACAACACACTCCCCTAGGTATCACCTTGCAATCCAAGCATGCTCGTTTGTCCTTTCTTCTTGCGAGGACAAAGTCAATGCACTTCTGAGTGTTGTTGTCCGCTCTTGAAGGTCACTAGATGAGATTCTCTCTTTCTAAAGAAAGTGTTGGCTATCATCAGTCAAAAGCTACATAAAGTCCGAACTTCCTCCCTCCCGATTCCTACTACCATACCCAAAACCTCCATAAACCGCCTCGAAACTCTGCGCTTGTAGTACCTACATGCCCATTAAGATCTCCTCCTATAAAAAGCTTCTCACTACTAGGTATAGCTCTAACCAAAGCCATCTAAGTCTTCCCAGGCTGTCTCTTAGCACTCTCGTCGAGACCTACTTGGGGGCATACACACTAATTACGTTCAAGACCATATCACCAACGACAAGCTTGACTAAGATAATCCTATCTCCTTGTCTTCTCACTCCCACCACACCATTCTTGAGGCTCTTATCAATCAAAACTCCTACTCCATTTCTATTTGTGATGACTGTTATCATGTACCAAAGCTTGAAACTCATATTGTCCACCTCCTTCGCCTCTCCGACTCCTTCCATTTAGTCTCTTGAACGCATAATATATTTACACGCCTCCTAGTCTGCGGTATCAACTAATTCTCTTAACTGGCACCCGTAAGTGACCCTACATTCCAACTACCCAAATTCGGATCCTAGTTGGTTCAGACTAGCTTCCTTACCCTTCGCACATTGATGCGACTACGATGCGAAGACCCTTGCTCATTTTTCACTACACCCGGCGCCGATGTAGCGCGCCACTAAGGAAGCGACGACCGATCCTTGGTTACTTGACACCATGCCCAGATCACGACGACGATTTAAGCGTCACGGGGTGACGACCTGCCCTTGCCCATTTAACACCATACCGGGTTCCGATATGTATGGCGTCGCTAAGAGGGTTACGCCCAACGATTTTCTTTCGGGTTTCATCTCCATTTAAGTGGCTAAGTTTTTACATTGGCTCGCCACGCCTAACACAACCCTCCTCCTTTACCAGGGCTTGGGACCTGCTATGCTGGGACACCAAAGGCGCCCCACCATAGGCGGAGTTAAGCATCAGCACAGGATGCATCAAAATTACAATAGTTCAGCATCTTGAGTGGCCAAATTCCAAATCACCGAGTGCCAGCGGTCATGATTCCTTATGGCCAATGGCTTCTACTACGTGTCAACCATGAATCTCCACTCTTTACATATCTGCCTTCATCTTACGATGATCACACATTCAATTTGTTACACCATAATTTCATTCAGCGGTGCCACTCATCAGACACTGAAATGTGAAATAACTTAATACATGATGATTGATTTGACACTCCTTTCATACCATGAGATATTATTTCATCAGACACTTCTCTCTATTAGTCATTGGTAGGGGTAGGCATATCATTAGTAGCTATGTAAAAAAAAAAAAATCTCCTTTTTTTCCTGGGCAGTTCTACGCATATAATTTACATGCTGACAGATTTCCTGCTGCCAAAACATTGTGCAGAGCGAAAAAGGAGCACGGAAGGCATCCAGGGTATGTTTTGACTCCTCCCTCTGTTAAGATATATCAGCTTTGAACCCTATGCGATCCCTTATCTTACAACAGTTGAACGAACCAAAATATAGCACTTTAACTTAATGCCTTGTGCAAGAAAATTACTAGCATTTACAGGAGAGACGCTCAATTACTAAAGGACAGTGGACTTTAAGTAACAGGACTATAATGTACTATTATATCAGCTAGACCTTTTGCCTTAGGTTTCTTCCATGCTTTACATATAATAACTGGAGCATCTAGTTATATCTATGGTTATCTGGAATATTTGTGGGATATCAATTAATTTAATTTCACATGCTTTGATGCTCTGTAGGTGGAGAAGTTTAGTATCGTAGTCCTTTCCTGTTCCAACTGATGTATGTATGAAAACATGAAAACCAGTTTCTATGTGTATGGGAAGCAGGAGGTTCTTGTGCCTCTAGTTCCTACGAAGGGAAAATTCCTCTCTGTTTTTTCACCACAATCTCATCTTGCAAAACAAAAGTGAGCGGAACTGGAGCATTTATCTTGACAGTTTTAGTGGTGCATAATTGGCATTTGTTTTAGGGTTCTTTGGCATAGACATTTTTCGTACATTAGACTAGAATGGAACGGTAGGTGTAATAATCTTACAGGCCATAGTATATAGTAACTGACGAATGCTGAACCAGCTTACATATGTGTCTTATGCCAGATTTCCAGTTACATGTACACGAACCACGTTGGTGTTAGCCTTAAATGTTGCTAATGTATACAAACAGCTCCTATTTTTGTGATGTTATTCGGCATGGTAAGGAGATTTTTCTGACCAGTAACATGTCCACAGAATTATGAGAGGTATGTGGTTCGGCAAAAACGAGCAGAAGGAAAGAAGGCCCTAAAAGATTATCTTCTCTATGGAAAGCCATCACCTCATTTACAGGTGAACTTTCTACTTCACTTTTGTCATTTGGACTGTTGTAGTCCTTCATTTTTCAGGGATAAATCAACTTTTTTTTCACTCTTCCATGAGCTTATTAAGGGAGCGATGTGTGTGTGTATCTATATAACTTAGCAAATGAAGTAGATCATCATCAGTTTTAACTTCTAAAATCTGTTATGTACCTATGATGTGTTCCCTCCAGGATGGAAGCACAGGTAGCTTTGCTAACTCACATGCAATTCCGAGGTTCAAAACGTTTAAGAAAGGGCCTCAAACTCATTGGTCATCGAAGTCTCGGCAAGGTGTACACAATCACAGAAAGAGCAGGTTTCTCTAAACTGAAACAAAGCCTATGATTGTTTTGCATTTGATGCTTTGTTGCCTTGGAGCTACTCGTGTGGTCTTTTAGCATTTCTGGATTATTCTGTAGTACAGTATGTAGCACATTCATGAGTCATGCATATGTTACTCTGGTGGCTCCTACATCCTTCACTCTGCTCCTATGTTCAGACTGGTATATGATCTAGTGACATGGCATGGAAACAGTGTTGGTGTGATCATATACTGCCTAACACTTCTGCATCACTGATAGTTCATGCGTCTTATGGTGCTGTTTACTAGCAAAAACCTGTTGAGCTTCCATGATTTATTGAGTATGTACAAATTACCATGGATTTTGCACCTTTGTCCATGTGAACCACTTCATGTTAGGCAGCGGATCATGAAAAATGGCACTTAGACGAGCAGTTGCCTTTTGCAGGTAAAAAGGACAAGGAAAGGTTCTGCAACTTCTTCCATGAGGACCATTATGTGCACCCTGATGACATCTTTGAAGCCATCTTCAGTGCACATCATGGTTTTACTTGGTCTCACATATCGTGGGAGGGTTTTCACTTCGGGGACAAATCGTTCAGATTTAGATGGAGTGGTGGTGAGTCACGCAGACAGAGAATTCCAAGTGACAGCGAAGATGAAGAAAGCGAGGGAAATGAGAGCAGGGAAACAACCAGCGCTGGTTCACATGCGCACAGGGTCATCCTTGGATTACCACCATGTGGTCCACTGACTCTAGAAGATGTTAAAACTGCGTAAGTTGTCCTTTCCTGAAATTGCTGTTTGTCTTACTGTTATCATGTTTTTTTTTTGTATGTATGCATAAGTTGTACCCCCACTCTAGGACTCACCTGAATTACCCCTTTGGCATGCAGTTTCCGGGCATCTGCTCTGCGGTGGCACCCTGACAGGCACCCAAGGTCATCACAGGTGTGTATGCAACCAAATTCAGTTCCTGAAAGTTAATAGCAGAAACTGATGCAGTCATTATGCGTGTTTGTTTCCATTCGCAAATAAATACAAAAAGGCACAGATGATAACAAGGGCATACCACATGTTTTGCTTGCGTGCGCAGGCCATGACTGAGGAGAAGTTTAAGCTGTGCGTGAATGCGTATAATTCACTCTTCAGTTTCCTCAAGGCTGCTTAGTGTCGTTGCTGTCTTACGCACGGACGATGATTGCATCTTTCTATCACTGGAGGATGTTAACTTGTTTTGGTGTATCAGTTTTGAAAGGCTCAAGGGATGAACACCTGAGCAAGGAAGGCACTGGTGATTGCGGCTGTTGTTTTGTTTCACTTTCCATTTCGTTTGAGATAGATAGCTACATAGCCAAGGGCCAAGCTCCGACGTCGAAAGGATGGGAGCCAGTGTTGTTGTACTAACTTGTACAATAATGTCAAATGTAACATTTGATTCCTTCATTTTGATTCATAAAAGTGAAATAAATAAAATACTAAGAAACAAACATGTGAGGCCTCCTGCATATGGGATTGTTAGTTGTGGACTTGTGGTTTGGTATTGTTTTTTTTTTATTTTTCTGCTGTTGTTCTGTCCTGCAATTTTTTTTCTGAAACTTGTTGATGCTCCATCTGAGAGGTGATGTGCCGTTCCATGTTGTGGGTACAGGGTACTGTGATGATTTGGCCGGGATAAAGCGAGGCTGGCCGGTGTGGCCGCCGTCTTGCAGCTTTAGTCAAAAAGTACTCGCCGCCCTTATTGTTCCGCGTAAAGGCAAGCTAAAAATTATTATTTTATTAATTTATTGTGATAGAAAAACACTCGATAGCTCATAAGTTTAGCTTCATACTCTCTCAAATCAAAGCAAAGTTTGTCGTTGGAAAACGATGCGCGCGGGATATTTCACGTTTTACAATCCCCTTAAAGCGAGGCAATCTTCTTATTACGGAGGAGACAAGCTCATAAGTTTAAGCGCACAGGGCACACGTACAGTCGCAGCAAATCAAATCGAAACAAATCTATTTGGAACTCTGGAAATAATGCCCAAGAAAAAAATGGAGGAAGGAAAGAAGAGAGAAGAGAGATGCCTCGAAACTTGCACATTGACTGATAACTCTGATAGCATAGCAGGGGCCAAGCGAAAGCCACTCACAATTAGGAGAGGATTATCTTATCTAGCCATCTAGGTGGAGGTGGTAACCTCTCTTTCATTTTATTTCATAGCTACCCTGCAGATCCTGTCCTGCTACACACTAGGAGTAACTAATTAAAGAAATAATGGAATGGTAGGTAATCTCCTCTGAAACTGAAATGTCATCTGACACTCTACTCTACTCAGATGCATTATGCATGGAGGCAGAGAGATAGATCGATCTAGGATCTCCCTCCTAGATAGATAGAACAGCTAGAAGTAGCCAGCAGAAGGCTACAAGGCTAGAAGCAGAGGATTGCGACGGATGCGGCGACGGAGAAGGCGAATGTGGTGATGAGGAAGGCGAAGTGGATGGCCCAGCTCCGCCTGAACTTGGCGAGGTACGCCTCGGGCGGCTCCTGGTACGGCACCTCGACGTCTGCCGCCGGCACGACCTCCGCCGCGGACTTGAGCATCCTGAGCCTGTCGGCGGCGAGCGCGAGCGTGAGCTTGTGGCACCGGCGCTGGTAGCGGAATCCGTTGAGGCAGCGGAGGTGGTGCGCGACGGCGGCGTAGAAGGCGAGGTGCGCGAGCGAGAGCAGGCCCGCGGGCGCCCAGAGGTGGCGGCACTGGAGGCGCGCGGGCGGGGAGGACGCGACGCCCGAGAGGACGAGGGACAGGAGGAGGAAGAAGGCGAGGAAGAGGCGCCACAGCTCCTGCTTCTGCGCGTCGGCGGCGCGCTTCTTCTCCACCGTCTTGTCGAAGTGCAGCTGCACCACCGTGCCCAGCGCCTGCGCCGCCGATTCGCGGGTCACCACGTCCACCACGGCGCCGGCGGACCCGGTGGCGGGTCCGGTGCCGGCGCCGGCGCTCGCGGTGGCGATGTAGGCAGCCTCGCCCACCGCCATGGCCTCCCCGACCCGGGCGCCGTAGTGCAGATCCATGGCTCGCTCGGTTTGGTTTGGTAATTGCTGCGCGCGACAGATGCACGGCGCGGGAGGAAGAGGATGGACGGGCGTGGACAATGCAGACGCAGGCAGGCAGCGCGGGTGGAAGTGAGGAGGGGGTGGACTAGGGGGGCGAGGTTGGTTTTGGGCTTTTGGCAGCACTCACCAGCTCAGCTCATCGCCATCCATCCCCATCGGGTCATCGGGGATGAGACGCATGGTATGGATGGTAAAGGCCCGTTTACATGTGAAAATTTTTGGTTTTTTTTTTTTTGACAACCGTAGCACTTTCGTTTGTATTTGGTGAAAATTGTTCAATTATGGACTATTTAGGCTTAAAAGATTCGTCTCGCCAATTACGGATAAACTGCGCAATTAGTTATTCTTTTTACCTACATTTAATGCTCCATACATGTGCCGTAAGATTTGATGTGACGGGGAATCTTGAAATTTTTTGGATTTTGGATGGAATCTAAACGGGGCCTAACAACGTCTCAGCTCAGGATCCCCTTTACCATATTGGAAGGTCGACCAAATCTGGTCGACAGTCTATTGAGAGATATGTCTATGGTAATAGATGAACTGATAGAGGTGCGCGTGAAGGAATTGGACGGTGATACAGAATGCGAGAGACAACGATTAGACAAGTTCAAGCCGCCGACTTGGCGTAATACCCTACGTTCTTTGTCTTTCGGTGGGTTGTATTACGTATGATCACATGAAAACGAGGGATCCCTACCCGTCTTATATAGCTCGGGGTAGGGTTATAGGTCGGTTGTTTCTCCCGATCGGTTTACAAGATAGGAAGTTACAAATATTACGGGATCTAGCATATCCGAGCAGGTTTTCTAAATTATCGAGGATCTTCACGTATCTATCACGAGGCATAGCACGACTAAGCATACTAAGATTATAAAGGTACGCAGGGCCTTTTGTAAGTATGGCCTCATAAAGCTATTGGCGTGGCCAATCAAAGCTTAGCGTTGATTCTGGGTCGGGCCTCCCTTAGCGGTTTCGGCCTATGTACAACCTCAGGTATCGGGGTCATACCAAGCTGCAGTTAGTCCCCGAGCACCTTGCATCCTCTCGAGCCACATTGCATTGAGTTGTGTCAGAGTGACCAACACGCCGCTAATTGTCATGGACATCCCAAGCTTCCAAAACAGGCTATGAGCTAGAATTGATATTTGTTGAATAAGATGTCCGATCAATCAGTCAAGCGTTCGAGCTATTGGAGCGAGCGTTCGAGCTGTTCAATCGGGAGCTGAGCTCAGACTTATGCGAAGCCGAGGTTTGTCACAAGGATGTAAGGAGCTTAAGTGATTTTTTTTAAAATCTCCATCTTGAACGAAGTGTGCCCGCTTAGGTTCCGGGTGCCGAAGTTACTCGCGTGGCGTCCTTGACTTACTTATCGCGGAGGAACCTAACCTCTTTGAAGAAATCTAAGCCAAAAAAATAAACACATTCACCGCAAGGTGAAGTGTACCCACTTAGTTTTCGAGCCTGGCACTAGGTGAGGTAGTCTCGTAGTGCTAGGGTCTAAAGTAGTAGTCTTCAGGTGCTGAACCAGTTCCCAGCTTAGCTGAAAAAAATAGTATAGCTATCGCTAGATGACGTGTACACACGTAGTCCCCTGAGCATGCTAAAAGATTACAAAGGTATCTCGTAGCAGGGTCAGAGAAAAAAAATATCTTGTCATAAATGCTAAAAAACTCCATCAAAGCAAAGCTTAGCGTTGAATTCTGTTTTGTCGTTCCGCGTTCCACGCGGTTTAAAAGTATTAACTATTAAGCAATTGAAATTAGGACGATTGGAAACAGGGGAAGACGACCTGCAAGCTGCAGCTGCCGCCGCTGCATATATGTATCAAAGGGACTAAACCTTGGAGGGACTGATTTGCATTGAGTTGTGTCAGTAGTAGACCAACTGGACATGATATATTTTATAGTCATCTCCTTTTTCATCCCAACCTGCAAAACAGAACTATGAGATTTGCATATTGATATTTATTGTCAGCATTAAACTGTGAACAAATAATGGTTGCATAAGAGATGTTCTTTTCAGCATAATTGATATGTCACTTACAAAAATTGATATTTTTTTAGCCTTGTGAATCTAATATAAAATGAACATACAATTTACATTGTAGTGATGCTGTAATATGATGAAGAAGAGAGAAACGAAAGAAGTGTAACCTCAGTAAATTTCCTTATATTACAATCTACACATTGGAAGGCACAGTAACCTTAAAGTCTGTTGCATGGAGGAAGGGTACCGTACAGCTGAGCTGAGCGGCTTGGTTGTTTGGCAGGGAGGAATAGCAGCAGGTCGTGCTGGGTGCTGGGCCTCTTCCTCTTCAACCGTGGATAAGAACCACTACAACTAGTCAATTTGGGGAAATCAGAGGGTGAGAGATATAGTCGGCGAAGGAGCAAGGAAAGGGCCTGAGCGTTGGAGAGAAGGGGCTGTTGTCGGCGCCCGAGCAGTTATCTGACGTGAAAATCACAAGTACTCAATCCATAACACGCAACAACCAGATCGAGATCGGACGAGGAGGGGAGACGAACTTGTGTGTCGGGACGGTGGCGAGGTACGGCGGCAAGGTAGAATTGGGGAACCCCGTGCTTAGCGGCAGAGGTGGGGACGAGGGCAGGCTGTAAGAATTTTGAGGCTTCACTACCAACCATGTGGAAGGCCTAAACTTTGTATTAACATTGAGAAAGATATAGCACATAAGTGATAATTAGGGGCAAACTGTTGCATAGTAACAAACATAATTTACATAGATATAACAGTTATAAATTGTTTCTACCATTGCGTGGTCAACACTGTGTTAGACCTAAAACAAGATCTCTATGCATAGAACTAGCGGGTTCTCTTTACTATGAATGCGATATCGAGAGTAGAGAGACAGAGAGGAATAGAAGAAGAACGTGTCGAACTACATTTGTGATATTGACACCGCAGAGGAGATGGTCCAAGTCGCCATCTCATTCGTCGGTGAAGTCTCTAAGCTTCACAAGGGCGATGTTCGAGGGAACTTTTCGACGTCGGTGGAGCGAGCGGCTAGAGGCTGGTGGCTTCCGTCCAACCGGCTGCGTAAAACAACCCTCTCTCGATCGGGATTAGGGTTTAGGTTTCACTTGGGAGCTCGGCTCACGGTAAACCTCGTGTTAGAGAGCTAGGAGCCGCCCTCACCTCTATATATAGCAAGGAGGTGACATGCTAGAGGCCCTCTAAGCCATAGTAATGGGCGCCCTAATCGAGGCTTAGGCGGATCAAAGGTGACTAACAAGGCCCGTTGGGATTAGTCAGATTTGGGATTAGAGATCAATCTAACAATCACCCCCTTGATCTTGTACCATCTTTCAATTTCATATCATTTACTTTTGTTCATTCCATTACAGATTAGCACATAGAGCATGTTTCACCGTCACGGTCAATTGCCGATAGATTTAACACCTACAACACACCACTCTGTTCTGAAATAGATACTTAACTTTGGGCATTCTTTTGTCTAGGAATTATAGGCTTTCTCTTAAACCTATGTCGGCTACATGTTCTCTGAACACGTTGGGTGGTAAGCCTTTTGTAAGCGGATCCGTGAGCATCTTTTCAGTATTTATATGCTCAAGACTTATGACATGATTTCAGACTTTATCTTTCACAACATAATACTTTATGTCAATGTATTTGGCAGCACCACTTGACCTATTGTTGTGAGTATACTGTACTGCCGGATTATTATCGCAGTATAACTTAAATGGTCTATAGATGTCGTCAACCACCTTCAAACCGAGTATGAACTTTTTTAGCCAGTTCACCTGCCCCGTTGCCTCATAACACGCTACAAACTTGGCATACATTGTGGACGATGTAGTGACGGTTTGCTTTGAGCTTTTCCATGAAATAGCTCCCCCTGTGAGAGTGAATACATATCCAGACGTGGATTTTCTATCATCTCCCGCATAATCAGAATCTGAATATACCACTATATAAAGTGAATCTGATCTTCTATACGTCATCATGAGGCTTTTCGTTCCTTGCAAATAACGTAATACTTTCTTTACTAATTTTTAGTGTTCTATTCCAGGATTGCTCTGGAATCTGCCAAGTAACCCGATAACAAATGCCAAGTCAGGGCGCATACATACTTGATCATATTGCAAGCTTCCAACAGCTGAAGCATATGGAACCGTTTTCATTTGATCGATCTCCATCAATGTCGATTCACGAGGCATTGAAAATCCCCATATATCATGCCGCCCTTGACTATAGGAGCGGTGAGGGACTACATTTATGCATATTGAATTTCTTTAAGATCTTTTCTATGTATGCCTTTTGTGACAAGTCTTGTCCTAATACTCCCTTTACATGACTCAATGTCATGTGAATCTTGATCCCTAGATCAACGAAGCTTCATCCAAGATCTTTCATATCAAATTTTGAGGACACAAAACCTTTTTGTCTCAAGGACCTTTCAAGTAGTAGACTGACATCACTACTAGCAAGTAAGATATCATCCACATACAGGACAAGGAAGATAAACTTCCCATTCTTAAACTTTGCATAGACACAATTGTCCTCTACATTCTCTTTAAACCCAAAATTCCTTATTGTCTGATCAAACTTCAAGTACCATTGTCTTAAAGCTTGTTTTAATCCATAAATGGATTTCTTTAGGCGACATCCCATTTGTTCTTTTCCTTCCATGACAAAACCTTTTATTTGTGTCATGTAAATATTTTCCTCCAAGTCTCCGTTAAGAAATGCCATCTTTACATCCATCTGATGTAATTCTAAATCGTAATGTGCCACTAATGTCATTATAATTCTAAAGGAATCCTTACATGAGACTGGAGAAAAGGTCTCATTGTAATCAATGCCTTCTCTTTGCGTAAAGCCTTTTGCCACAAGTCGCGCTTTATATCTCTCCATATTTCCTTGAGAGTCAAGTTTTG